TTATTCGTCAGGAAAAAAAAAAAAAAAAAAGTCACTTTCTTCGGTTGTAGACCCGTACTTCTGATCTCGTTTGAAGGAAATACAAACCGTATACAAGGAATGTTTCAGAACATCCTCAAATTCCAACAGAATCTACGAGAAAATCTGTAATTACACAAAATAAAGATTGACTTTCCCATTCGAGTCAAACAAGCGAGAGGGCAAAAAACTTTAAAATCATCAAAACATAACTGTGTAAACGTGAACTAGTTCGTGCAGGCGTCAATTTTTTTTTTTTTTTTTTTTTATATATATATATATATATATAGAAAGAAAAAAAAATTATATTTAGTTAATGATGATTGATTTTCTTCTATCATTATAATGTTAATTTATCAAATATAGTATTTAATAAAGAAAATGTATGCTTTCAGTTAGAATAAAATTTCATACATAAATATAAGTTCAACTATGTCAAACTATAAAATATAAATAAATCTAAAAATTAAAAAAAAAGTGTAAACTAGATCTATATCATGACTGTCCACTTACAATTTACTGCGAAATTATCATCATCAATTGTTAAAGATTTTTTTATTAAACTTTTTTTAATTAAAAACAAATTTTCTCTATTTTAAGTTTTTAATTATGAGTTTTTTGCTGAATCTGCAAATTTTATAAAATGTGAAGTATTTTAAATATTATTTATAATAATTAATTTTGATATATTTTTTAAAATAATAATTTCAGTTTTATAATTTTAATTTTTCTAGATATATTTATTACCCTGTTGTTGGATATGGTAAAAGAAAAAGTATTTTTAAAGTCTTTGGTTGTTTCCTTTGTTTTGCATTTGTTTGTATCTGGCATGGCATGGGAAAATCAATTTGTGTTTGGAGTTTGTTAAGTTTCCTGGGTGTTGTTGTAGAAAAGTTTTCCTCTGAAATTAATTCAAAGACATTTCGTAAGGTAAAAATTTTATTATTTATATTAATATATACATATATATAAATGATGATCATAATTAGCAGCATATAACAATAGAAAATAATTTCTTAATAGCATGCAATAAAAAAGTTCTAATAATGCTGCTTTAAATTATAATAATAATAAAACAACACATCACAATAGACCTGATGCCATTCTCATTGAGAAATGCAGAAAGATTGCTTATAATAGTAGACATCTCTGTTCCAAACACTCAATATAAAAATTGCAGACATTGAAAAATTCAACAAGTACACTCCACTTGCTCAAAAAATGAGACAGATGTGGAGGATGGCCTCCACATCTGTCTTATTTCTTGAGCAGATAAGGTATTTATTGTACCTGTTGTCCTTTCTTCTACTGGTGTTATACCACATACTACTGTACAAAAGTCTAGAAACATTAAACCTTAATAAAAACACATACATGACACTACAGAAAGTCACAATATTGAACACATGTCACATTAATGAAAACACAGACCTACAGCTACATGAATATTGGAAGGGTTTCCTAACAGATGGGAAAAGGGAAAAAATAAACAAACCAACACATTATAAAAAAGGGAAGGCACTGAGGTCGGCGTTATGTGTGCGTTTTTTATTCGCTAGTACTTTCGACGAACATATAGCCGTCGTCATCAGGCGAATTA